GAGAGGAGAGGAGAGGAGAGGAGAGGAGAGGAGAGAGGATTGGCTTTAGCTATGTGTGTAGGTTCAAGTTGCCCCCAGCTCTGTCCCTCATCCCCTAGGACCTCTGTCAAATCCCTCCAGTCCCCTTCCATGCCCAGCCCGGGGCTGGCTGAGCAGTGGGAGCAGGTTGTGCTGGCACATGAAAGGAGGACAAGATGCAGTGGCTGTGACAGCGTGTGTGGCAGGGCTGGCACACAGCCCCAGTGCCTGGTCATGTGCCCAAGTCTGGGTGTCCCAGCTCCCCAGGCTCGTCCTCCACACTGGCAGCAGGGACAGGCTGTGGTGCCATGTCCAGTCTCAGGCTGGGGGTGCCACCCTTGGCACAGGGGGCTCCGGGGCAGAGGGCTAAGGGTCTCTGGGGGGCAGGCATCTCCCCAGCCAATCTCAGCCGGTGTGCCTGTGTGCCACTGGGCTTACAGACACGGCGGGTGTGCCCTGTACCAGCAGCTCTCCCCTGGACGGGCTGGGATGGATTGGAATGTGCAGCACATTCCTAGAGCCTTCCGATGTGCTTCTCTTGGTCCCAGGGGCTGGGAGTGACACCGGAGCCCCCCACCTCGTGGGAAGGGGCTTTGTCAGCACAGACGAGTCCTTCAGTTGAATCCGTTTACACATTTCTGTTTCCTCCTCCAAAACCTCTACCATGTCGGCTGATTTCCATGTCCATCCTCCTCAGGGAAGTGGTTCCAGTGTTTGGGAGCCCCAGCTGGGAGGTCACAGGGGCTCCAGGGTTTCCCTGAAGTGTGTGGCCTTTGGTTCAGTCTGTTTTGGTTCTCTCCACCGACGTGTCCCTGGCTGTTTCTTCGGCGCTGGCTGTCACCAGTTGGAGTCTGGGGAGGGATGCACAGCCTGGGGAGGTGATTTTGCTGCACAGGGAGCAGGACCTGGCTCTCTCAGCCTGCCAGGCTGGAGCTCCAGTTTGGTTAACATGGACCTATGCTGGTCCTGGCCTGCTGAGCAATATCAAACCTGCTGCTGTTCCTCCACTTCCCAGCCCCGGGACTCGTGGCTCTGGCCCGCTTCGAGCCCCCTCCTTTCATCACTGAGCACTCCTGGCGCTGTGCCCTGGGTGTGCCTGGAGCAAGGGCTGCAGTGCCATTAACACCTTTCCTCTCCCCTCCCCAGGTCGGAGAGCAGCCTCGCTAGGTTTGCCCACCGCTTGTCGGTGAAGCAGAAGCAGGAGAAGAGAAGGAAAGCTGAGTATGGCTCAGCCGAGCTGTCTGCCTTCCGGCCCAGGTCTCTGAGCATTGAATGGTAAGAGCTGCAGGGACAGGGCTGGGGGAAGAAGCTTCTGCCTCTCCAGTTGCCCTCCTGTTCCCTTTTCCCACTGCTGCCATTGTCGAAGCGCTGTCCTGCGGAACGCACCTACAAACCCCTCCACAGCACAGGCTCCGCTAAGGTGTCAAACCAGAACATCCCCCAGCTGAAGGTCTGTCAGGACTCATGTGGGTAATGGGAGTGTCTGCTGAGCTGGGGCACATGAGCAGCCTCTGGCAACCCCCATCACTGTCTGCTTCCCTTCCCCCAGGAGCAGGAATAAGGAGCCATAGGGAATGGGAGCTGCTAGAGGATGCATCCCATGGTCCCTCACTGCCCAATGCTCCTCTGTGGGATCATCCAGAGCTGAGAGCTGCAGTGGGGTGGTCTCTGTGAGAGATCTGGGATCTGCAGGGACACTTTCAGTGGCTGCATTGTGTCCCCACACCCGGAGTGAGCAGTGAGGGGGTCCCGGGCTGTTCCACTTGAGCCACCCCGGGGGCAGCCCCAAGGCCCAGAGGGATGAAGTGCTCCCTCCTTCCCCACTGCTGCACTGCCTGAGGCCCCTGGTGTGAGCACAGATCTCAAAGGGCTGTCCCCACTCAGCAGGGAGTCATTCGTCCTGGGCTTCTGAGCTCTGATGCAACAGTCTTGGAAGCAGATTACAGCCAGCCATTGCAGTGTTAGAGGTGACCTGTAAGGACATTTAAAAGAGCTGGAAATTGCATTGCTTTCTGCTTCCTTAGATGGATAAAGGAGGGTAAAACTTAAGGGAAAAAAAAAGAGAGAAAAATGCTTAGAAATTGCAAGAATGTAGAGTTTGGTTTTCAATTTCCCTGCTTTTTTTGGAGGTCTTTCTGGCATTTATTGTGTGTTCTAACACTTCAGTGTGAGACTGTGGAACCCTCCTCAAAGGCTTCCTCTATCTGTGAGGTTCCTTGAGCATCAAAGCTCACCAGGTATTAATGAACCAGACAAAGAATTCTGGGTATTTGGGGACAGACTGCTTTCTTCTCCACTTACACAACTTTCTTCCCTTTGCTAAGACAATATATTGAGGAAACCTGGTCTGAAATTACTCTCAATCTCCCAAGGAGACAAATATGTGAATTTGTAATGTAGCAAATAGGGAAACAACAAAGAGCTCATTAAAAACAATCAGAGTTTGTCTTTATTCATAACAAAGAAGCATGAGAAGCCAGCAAATCTTTTTCCCCTCTAAATGTGTCTTTGAAGCCCCCGGGTCCCAGTTTAGCCCTGTTGGGGGATATTTGTGGTACATTTTCCCCCACTCCATAGCGTTTTCCTGGGGGAAACCATCTGTCTTGCATTTGGCAAACCACCTTGTGCGGCAGCGACTCGCAGCTGTGGTAGACGATGCTCTTTTAGAGGGATTTTATGAAGCAGCCTGGAAAGGAGCTCTGGATGAGGAGGGACTGCCTTTGCCTTTGGTTTGCTGTGTACCATTGTGCCAGAGCTCAGGCTGTGAGGCTGAGAGAGACAGACCCAATGTCCCCGTCCTGCAGGGACACAGACACAGCCAGGCAGGACTCCCACCCTGTACTGGCTGTTTTATCCATGGCTTGGAGTCTTGAGCTGGATCAGGTATGGCCCTGGCAGCCAGGATTGGGTGGGTTGGACTGCTGGAGCTCAGGTGCTGGCAGGGCACAGAGGGGTCACCCCAGAGGGACACAATGATGAGGGGTGGCAGTGGGCTGGGGACGCTGCCTGCTGCCTGCTCCCATCCATCTCACATGCACAGGTCCTCAGAGAGGCATTTGGAGATTTTTCCAGCCTTCTCTGCAGCCATGACCTGCTAAGGGACCTCCTGGCCTTTTCCTTGGTGTGAAACAGCTTTTCTCTGTGTTCCCTGTACATCACCAGGGATCTGTGCTCATCGCAGCAGGATCAGCACTCAGTCACTCCAAACCATCCTGGGCTGCAGGTGAGGCTGCTCCTCTGTGCTCTGATGGGAAGCTTGGTTCATATTCTGTGAAATCTACAGATGCCTAATTTGTCTTCCAGAGCAAATACCTACCCGCATCAAATCTGCCTGTATTTACAACCCAGGGTTACCACTGCATCCTTTCACCTGCCTCAGCACAGAGGTGAACACCCACACTGTGTGTGACAGGTTCAGCTCATCCCACATGGGTAGGAGTGGCATGGAAGAGCAATGGACCATGTTTTCCCAAATCAGCAGCTCCTGACAATCCTGCCCATCTTGACCCCAAGGCTTGAAGGCAAAGGACAGTTTCTCAACCTGCTGTTGCCTGTTGCCAAGGAGGAGGTAGAAAAGCATGACATCATCTGTGCTCTTTGCATTGAAAAGCTAGGTGTCAGTCTGGGGCAGGGATTAGGGTTTCCTGCTTGAAATTCCTACAAATGCATTGTCAGTACAACCCATCCCCACACAGGGCAAGCTGAGGCAGTTTTCCAGTGTTCCGAGTTATCCAGGTGCTCAGCGTAGGGGTGGATGGAGCCGAGGTAGAAGAGAAGGAGCTGCACAGGGTCACAGAGTCTGCTTGATACTGTGTTCCTGCACTGAGCACAGCCAGGCAGGACAGGACACAGATGCCTTCACCTCCACTTGGCCCTTCTTCAGTGCCAGGAGCCCTGGGCCAGGAGGTGCAGTTCTTTGCTGCCATGGTGAATAAAGGGCTGGATGTCCCATGCTGCTGTCCCAGCCCAGAGATGCTCCCAAGGCAGCTCTCGCAGAGTCCATCAGAGCACATCTCCCTGGCTCAGTGGCTGGGACATGCTGATGGGTCGTGCTCCCCCAGGCACAAGGGCAGCTCTATTCCCATGGCACGTGTTCCTGTGCTGCACCAGGCCAGTGCAGCATGGCCCTGCTCCCCTGCCAGGCCAGCAGCAAGCAAAGCCCTGTTAGTTCCACTTATTAAAAACAAAATTGCGGGGGGGGAAGGGAGAGAAGGCAGAGTAAAAGTGAAGTATTGAGAAAACACTTCTTTCATTCATACGTTGTTTACTGAAATAAATACTTCATTATTAGGCCTTTTTTAGGGTATTTTTTTAAAGCCAGCGCCACAAAGTCCCCAGTGTTCAGGCCTGTGAATGGGCTAGATCACCTCAGCCCATGGCTCCCTGTGCTGATGTCCTGCTGCCGGGAGGTGCTGGAGAGGAGCTTTCCCAGTCTTCGGGAGAAACCTGGGGGGCTGCACGTCTGACTTTGCCCAGGTTTGCTGATTCCCTTCTCCTCTTTGCTGGATGGTGTGCTGGGTCATCAAGGCTGCTTGTGCTCCAGATGAGGCAAAACCTGGTAACTAAGGCAAGGAAGAGTTTGGGATTTCATTTATATTAAAGCTCTGCTTTCTGTGGTCTCTGGTCCTAATCTAGCTCCCAAGCCTAAACAGCACAAGGCTACTAAAGCACTTTTGACTTGAAGCCCACCACATTCTGCTGTTGGAGTGAAGAAGGTGAAAGCTGGTGATTCCCATGGAGACCTCACACTGTCCTACATCGCCAAAACTCCAACAATCCCTGTTATCCCCACTTAGAGTGAGCTGAGGCCTCCTCTCCTCCAGTGCCTGTTACCTGAGATCTGCTTCACATTTATCTTCCCTCTTAAGAGAAGCTTAATCCAATGGAAGGGCTGCGATCCCTGGTTTGCTCTTGTGTGGGCAGAACTGGGAGCCTCTGTTCCCTCTCACATCCTCTCAGCTCCATTGCTCATTGGGAGCTTTAGCCCTGTCAGGTTTGTCCTTCCGAAATCCTTTTGTCCCTTCCTTTTCCTTTCTAGCTCTACCTCTGGTTTTCCTTCTTCTGTTTGTTCCTGGGCTTGCTTTTCCCCCACACTCCTTTTCCCATACTCACCACTTGTTCACCCTGATTTCCGTCTATTTTCTTCTTCATTGCTTACTCACTGCTTTTTCTCTTCGGGCTGCTCTCATTTTCCCTGTCAGACAGCCTCCTTGTGATCCACGGTCGGAATAGCCTATTCCCATGGCAGCTCAGGAAAAATGCATCACATTCCTGTCTCCCTCCATGCTGTTATCTCGGTTCTGCTCCTTGGCTGCCCACCACGAGGCTGAAGCCATGCTGGCAGCAGTGTGTCTGTTCTTGGCGACAGGCTGCTGCCTCGGGCTCAGCCCTGCCTGCAGATTGTTTTCCTGCCTGACCCCTGGCACGGCCCTGGATCCCAGCTCCTCACTGCCGAACGCTGGGATGTGCCTGGAACTGTCTGCCCAGCAGCCACCGTGCAGACCACACAGGCCCAGGTGAAAGGTGCCAAGTGAGCAGGAGCCACCGGACATGGCAACCTTGCTGGCTTGGTGGAGGTGGCACGTGTGATGCTGCTGCACTCCGCCTCATGTTTTGGGTTTGGTTATTAAGAAGTTTTTGAGGGAACTGTTTTCATTAAGGTTATTTAAAGTGTCATAGTGTAATGTTTCCTCTTTAAGTGGTCTCAAGTGGTGTGGAGGTTCTCCCTGTGTGGCTGGGCATGGAATCCGTGCTGTGGAAGTGCTTCCTAACATTGGTGCTGTTGCTGCTGTGGGCAAGCAGCCATATGACCTGTCCCCATCCATGAGGTCCTCATCTCTGGCACCAAGTGCTGTGGTCCTGGTGGAGCTGCAGGGCTTGGGGGAGATGCCGAGCTGCCGACTGATCCATCTCACTGTTCCTGATCCAGTGCATGGCAGTGCTGCTGTTGCACAGCTCACTGAGAGCCTGGTGCTGTTCCCACAGCTGTCCACAGTCATGTGGAACTGTCCCCAGGACTCTCTGTGTGACATCTGTCCCTTTGTCAGCCAGCCAGCGCAAAGTGAGTTGTCATCAACTTTTTGGTAGGCAAAGAGTAGCAGCATGATGAAGACGGCAGGCTCAGAGCCTCCTCCAGGTTTCACAGCCCTGCTCGAGTTGTCAGACTCCAGAGAAGTCTTGGAGATCTCTCTCTTCCCAGACCAGGAAACTCTTAGCCTGAGTGAGGGAAAACAAAGAAAATGAGGCCCTGAGCCTTGCATTGGAAGGGGAGGAAT